CTCTGGCCCTCAGTTTCCTCATCTGTAAAATGAAGGACTAGTTCCCTTTCTCCTTAGAACACAGGAGGACCTTAGAGATCTTTTCAAATAGCTCTTTCTTCTTATTGTAAAAGAGGAAGGAAATGAGGCCTGGAAAGGGTAGGGACCTCCAGAGGGTCCTGCAGACAGCTGGGGACAGAGCAGGGATTTGAACTCAGGCCTCCAGGTCTCTGAGGCCAGGTTAGTGGCACACATTTGTATCTTGCCTGCTGCGTGCAAGGAAGGTCCCAGGCCTGGATCCAGGAGGGTTGGACACCCAGGGGCTGAACAGAAGATGATTTATTTATTTGTTTGTTTGTTTGGACTAGGCAATGGGGTTAAGTGACTTGCCCAGGGTCACACAGATAGTGAGTACCATCACCTAGCTGCCCCAAGAAGATGATTTATTCAGGACAATCATCACTGCCGTTCTGCTGCATTTTTTCTTTCAGAGCATCTCCTCTCCCTCTCTCCCTTTAACCCTCAGCCTCCACTGGGAGGTCAGAAGAGGATCCTCCTCACTTTACAGCTGGATAACCCTAAAGCACAGAGAAGGGGAGAGGTTTGCCTGGGATCACGCAGCGAGATGTGGATGTCGGCTCAGTTCAAATGTGTTGAATCTCCATGAGGTGCATGATGCTGTTCTGGGCACAGAAACCGTGACATCTGTTCCCTGGGGAGTGCAGTGCCTCATTCTTCTTGATTTCCTCTCAGTCCCCTGTCCCAGCAGAGAGGCCTGGCTGTTCCCTGGGCTTCTGGCAGACAGAAGCAGCTCAGGCAGGGCTGGGCCAGTCAGCCCCTCCGGCCTGCATGTCCGCAGCTCTCCTGTGTCCAGAGTCACTCTGAAGTCCCTTCCCTGGGGAGGAGATCAGGTATCCTCCACTCAGGTGTGCTAGAAAGCTGAGTACTGGGCCAGAGGGGGCTGTCAGACAGCTGACCAGCTCTGTCTCCCTTAGGGGAGCGTCTGATGACACTGGGCATAGGGAAGAGCCCTGGAGCTTCTGGTCAAGGTCATTCCCCAGAGACAGTGTGGTATAGTGGACCTGGATTCAGGAGACTTGGGTTCAAATTCTGGCTCTGACACCAGGCTATATGACCTTAGACAAGTCACTTTACCCAGCTGTGGCTTAGTTTCTGCAAAAAGAAGATATTTGGACTACTTGAGGGGTGTTTAAAGAGTTCTGTGCAAACTTCAAGGGCTCTAAAAGTGGGAGACATTATATCCCAGTATCCCACTTACACTAAAGGCTGGTTGTGTGTTGAATTGAATTGAATTTGAATCAGACTGAATTGTTGTTAGAAGGAGTGGGCAGAGACAATGGCCCAGTGAAAGGGAGAGGGCAGGGTGTAGGGGTGGGAGGTTGCACAATTGCCCTCTGAATGCTGCTCATTCAGATGGAGCCCAATTAGCCTCATGACTCAAAAAATCCTTAGGCATAAACTCCATATTCTTTCTATTTTGCTTGAAAAACCCCTATGTATTAACTTCAACAAAATAATCGTTTGCTTCCGTGGCTCCTTCTGGCCTCTTTTTCTCTCCTGCATTTTTTTCTGACCTGGATTTCGTGGCTGTATTTCTGCTTATCTGCATAGTCGTGCACATTGGATGCCCCAGTAAGCTGGAAACCTGAGGGCAAGCACAGTTTCAACTTTATCATTGTATCGTTGGCGCCTAGCAGTGCCTGGTGGTCTGCAGGTGTTTGACATCCAGATGGAGCTGTCACCCACCCCTCCTGCTATGCCATCCTGTGCCACTGTTGTCTGCACCCTCTGCGAGCTTCCTCCGAGGCGTCTACCCAATAAGCTGAAGGCCTTCTTCATTTCTCCTACCACATCAAGGGTACCAGGAGAGCCTGGTCAAGCCCATCCTCTCTTCCATCATACATTTCCCTGGTGATACCTTTTACTCCCCTTCACATTCCCTCCTTGTTTAGATGTAGCTTCTCATGTCTGCCATGCTCCTCTCCCAAGGTCCCGTAGATATATTTTACAATTATCTGGTTAGATGTTTCATCTGCCCAGTAGAATCTCAGCCCCTTGAGGGCAGAGACCATTTCTTTCTTGTCATTGTCTTTTCAGAGTTTGGTATACTGCCCCTTGCAGAAGAGGCTTCACGCATTTCTGCTGAGTGGAATTCAGTGAATCCCTCTTGTGCCCAGCACTGTGCCAGGGGGTAGGGGCTACCAAGACAGTACAAAGAGCAATCCCTGCCCTAAGGCAGTTTGCATTCTACCGAGGCACACAACAAATACCCCGGAGAGTGTCTACACCATTATTTGAGTGCTAGGGGTAAAGGAGCTGGGGAAAGGCTTTCCCTAGGAGACAGCACTTGGACTGAGCCTTGATGAAAGTCAAAGATTCTGAGAGATGGAAGTTAGGAAAGTGTTCCAGGGGTGGAGCAGAACTTGGGCAAAGACACGAGGGAGCAGATGGAAAGTCCCACTTCATGTTGACTACCTGGCTGGGAACAAAGGCCCTTCTCCATCCTGGGAGAGAATTATTCCCTCAAGATCAGAGGGAGTCCTGGGGCAGAGCTGAACTAACCTGGCTGAGGGCAAGTGCCTCCAATGTGCTTTGTTCCTCTATGACCATCCTGGGCACAGAACTCCACCAACCTCTGCCTTGAACTTCATGGAAATCTATTCTGCTGCTGTGCCCTGTCCCCTCTTCCTTTCTGTCTCTTACTCAGGGATTGATCATCAAATCAACATTACCTTTGCTACTGTGAAAGGCAGACAATCTTCTTGCCTCTGGCCCCAGTGGGGCTTCTGAGTGGTCAGCTTCCTGGGCACAAACTTCCTTCCCTGACCACCCTCCCACTCCATGCTCCCTCTCATACCCATCCATGTCTGCCTCGTTCCACTCCGACTCTCCCAATGTGCTCTCTGGAATTCCTGTTCTATTGACAAATGGCTCCTTGAATTTTCTTTGTGCCCTCCACCCAGTAATTACTTTGTATTTTAATGTGTATAAATTGTTTCTCCCCAGTAAGTACCTTGTGGGCAGGTTCTGTTTCATTTGTATCTTTCTATCCCTGCCACAGAACACAGGGTCTTGGCATGTCTAGACAATACATGACTGTCAAATTCTGACTCGGGGGGACAGTAGGAGCAGGCTAGCTGGAACATGGTATAAAGGAAGGTGTAATAAAATTTCTCTTTACAGTTCTTTGCCCCAGTTTGTCCAGCCATGATCAGACTGATGGGCTCATTTCTTGTAGTCAGACCTCTTTCTGGTGATGTAAGCTACACCTTCCCCATGAGGTGCTGGGGAGTGCTGGGACACAGGGCCTGAAGCCTAGAAGAGCATTGAATGACACTACCATCTGGTTTCTGGATGCCAGAGCTCTCTAACAAGTGCGGGCAATCCCCAGCTCATTCTCTCTGCCCCTTTCCCTGATGCTTCCTGCCTTCTCCCTCGCTCAGGTTAAACACCTTCTGACATTCCACATGGGATTGCGTCCTGGGCTGGGGGGGAGGGGGAGTGGTGGCTCACCTAAGGAGGGTCTTGTAGACCTGGGGACTCTTCCCTAGAATCGCTATCCTCAGCTCCTCTCCCCATTTCAAGCCCTTTGTGGCCTATCCAAAGATGCTGAAGGGGATGAGGCTGGGGACCTGGACGGCCGGGGAGCCAGGCTAAGATGCTGCCAGATGAAGACAAAGAACGTTTAGCCCCTAGAAACACCACCTCTTGTTGCTGGCGCTTTGTAAGGTGGTGAGACTCCCATACTCTGGGTGTCTGCAAGGACAGCAGAAATATCATGAGGATCAGAGGTGGAGATCATCAAGTCCAACCCCCTCATTTTACAGAGGAGGAAACTGAGTCCCAGGGGAGTCCACATAAGAAGGGAAGGGTCAGGATACAAATGCCAGGTCCTTTGATTCCAAAGCACAAGATCATCCTGAGGTCACGGCACCACAGCCTTAGAGCTGAGAGAGGCCAGCTATTCCAACCTCCACCTCTTTTGACAGATAAGGAAATTAAGGCCCAAAGAGTCATTTTTCCTAAGACCACACGAGGAGCAAAACAGGAGGACCAGAACTGAGGCTCCCTGGGCTCCAAATCCAGGAAGAAGCAGAGCTGGGGCAAGGAATGAGCAACACAGACAACTCACACACTTAGTATCTGTGAGACCTTGGGCCAGTCACTTAACCTCTGTCTACCTCAGTTTCTCATCTATAAAATGGGAGGTAATAACAGCACCTACTCCCCAGTGTTGTTGTGAGATGCTATCATTTTTATTTGTAGTAGTAGTAGCAGCAGCAATAGCAGTAAGTAGTAGTAGTAGTAGTAGTAGTAGTAGTAGCAGTAGTAGTAGTAGTAGTAGTAGTAGTGGTGGTGGTGGTGGTAGTAGCAGCGGTGGTGGTGGTGGTGGTATCAGTACCCCACTGTCCACAGTCTGTAGGTATTTGTTTTACAACATACGAGTACCATGTGTTGCAGTGAAGGCTAAAAGCCTTCGGTGACCAGGCACTCAATGCTAAAATATTGCCCAGAGTTTCCACAAACAAGGATCCCAGCTGTGATCGACTCTGCCACTGACTTGCTGTATTGACTTTTGTTAAAGCTCTGCCCCTTCTCGGGCCTCAGATGACACACTGGATTAGAGGCCATCTTCTAGCACTAACATTCTATGCTCCCATGTCTCCATTTCCAAGGCCACGTGGCACAGGGAAAGGAACTCTGAAGCTGGAGACTCAGGAACCCGGGTTCAACACCTGACTCTAACACTTACCAGCTCTGTGATCCTGGGACTGTCTGTCTGTCTGTCTGTGTCTCCCTCCACCTCCGCCATCTCTGTCTCTCTGACTCTCTTTCTCAGTCTCTCTCAGTCTCTGTCTCTGTCTGTCTCTGTCTCTCTCAGTTTTTCCCTCTCTCTGACTCTCTCAGTGTCTCTCAGTCTCTCTCTCTCTCTCTCTCTCTCTCTCTCTCTCTCTCTCTCTCTCTCTCTCTCTTTCTCTCTCATTCAACACTCCTCTAGGTGGAATATTATCTCTTTATTTCCTTAGAAAAGTAGCAGGTAAGGTGCCCCATTGGGGGGGGTTGGGGAGTTAAGAGACCATGTGCCCAGCTCTTATCTTCTGCCTGGGCTGGACACAACCTGTGGGCACAGATAGGGGACCACTAGGGACAGAATATACATCCTGTGCCCCCTTTCTACTCCCTCTTCCACAGATATAGACCCTAGCTCCCCTCTGACCAGGGCTAGGCAAAAGGGACTCTAAGGGTAAGGAAAGGAGTCCCAATAGTGGGACCCCAGGGCCCCTTACCAGCTCAGGATGGGGCATGCAGGGCAGAAAAGCCTGGGCTGTGAGGGTTGTCTCTGTAGAAGGGATCCAGGGCTGTCAGGGTTCTGCATGGAGAGAGATGTCCCAGGAGAACAAGGTGGGGAGGAGCCCAGGCCTAGAGCTGGAAGACACCTCAGAGACCAGAAAGCCCATTCCCTCTCATTTTACAGATGGGGAAACTGAGCCAGAGAGAGGATGCAACATGTCCATAGGAAATAAATGCCATAGCTGGGTTTCAAACCAAGTCTTCTCCCTTCCAAATGGGAGAGGGGGAGGAGTAGAGGTAGGGAGGGGCAGAACAGGAGGCCAGACCTGCCCACAAAGAACACAGGCAGGAAGGCTGCAGGGCCCACGGGAAGCAGGGCTGAGACAGAGTCAGAACACAGACAAGCCCTGGGCCACCAACCTGCCCACATGGGGGTGTGATCTCCTAAAGGTTTCTGTGGGATTGTGGTAACTCTCTATGTTATGCTGAGTGACAGGCTGGTTAATCCCATAGCCACCAGGCTTCTGGGGCTGGATTCCTCCTCGGGTCCAACCTTCCCGGTCCGGCCCCTGGGGAATATTCTTAAAGTATCTGTAGGACCAGACAAACAAAGCAAGAGGTCCAATTCTGGCCTGGAAGCCGGTGGGGGATGGGAGGAGGGCGAGGAGAAGGACATCAGGGGCTGAGGTCCCTATTTCCAGGTCAGTATGTGTAACAGCCCCCTGGAGACAGTGGGGATAGGGATGAGGAGGGAAGAACAAAGTCCTCTGAGGCTCAAGGCTTAGGGCAGGGGGAGTCCCAGGGACTGAGGAAGGATGAACACCAGGATCTTGGAGCCAGGAGCAAAGGGATAGGGGATGGGGCCAATCAGGCCTCGTGCATGGGAGCTGACAAAGCTAGGCAGTGCCTAGCAGGCTCTTATTTCTTCCAGGCATTTTACCACTTGGGGAGATGATGAGTCCTGGGCTAGACCTTAGGGCTGAGGCTTCCGGGGAAGGGACAACCCAAAAGTTAACAGGCAAGAGCTCATAGGAGCAAACAGACTTCTGATTCTCTGTGGGAAAGTCCCAGCTGGGAGGGGTGTTAGGGATTCTCTAGAATCCCCTTTGTTTGATAGGAGTGAAAAATGAGGTTCAGGGGGGCAGCTAGGTGGTGCAGTGGATAGAGCACTGGCCCTGAAGTCAGGAGGACCTGAGTTCAGATCCAGCCTCAGACCAAACACTTGACCTTTACTAGCTGTGTGATCCGGGCAAGTCACTTAGCCCCAATTGCCTGAAAATAGATAGATAGATAGATAGATAGATAGATAGATAGATAGATAGATAGATAAAATGAGGTTCAGAAAGGGCACATGAGCTGACCTAAGTCACACAGCACTTTAGGAGAAAGGTCAGGACCAGAACTCACGTTGAGTTCTGGCCCAGAGGTCTTTCTCCATCATGGAACCAGGAGTTCTTTATCATATTCCCACTGGCAGTGGGGACACATGAATTGCCATGGAAGGGGAGCATACGAAGAAGGCAGGGTTGCATCTCTGGCTTCTCAAGCGTAGGGGAGGGTGGAGACACCCATTCTGGCCCAGTGATGCCACTTACGATGGTGGCTCTGAGCTCCCCCCAGATGGGAAAAGTGCACACCTGCTCCAAACTCTGTCCTTGGGAAATAGAAGAGCCATTAAGGAGGAGAGGCACTAGTCTTGGCTCTAGAGGGGAGGGGACAGGGGCAGACCCTCAGGGATGTTCTCCACATACCTGGAGGGGGAGCAGCTCACCTTTGGTTGTAGGTGGTCAGAAATCTACAATCAGGGTCAGGGGGACCCCGGTTATAGCCAGGATTGTTGGTGCTGAAGCCAGAGGGCTCCTGTGAGGAAAGGGGGGCAGTGACAGTGATCAAGGAGAATGCGGAGGGGAGCGGTTAGGCAGGGAAAGAGCAGTGGAGCACTCACCTTGGACCCTAGAATCTCCCGTCCCAGCATGGCATTGGTGGTCTGGGGCATCCACTGCTTGCCCTGGTACTGGCGGTGACTCATACTACTAGGCTCAGAGATACTCAGAGGGCCAGGGGGTGGGGCCTGCAGGTCAGAGAAAGAACCAAGGATGAGATCCTGAGGGAGGTGGCAGATGGGAACAGAGGCTGCGAAGTTAGGCTTTTGTAGAGAACATGGAGGGAAGGGAAAACAGACAGACAGACAGAGGCACAGAGGGAGAGACAGACAGACAGACAGACACACACACACACACACATAAATACACACACAATCAGAGAGACAGAAAGATATGGGGACAGAGAAAGAGATGGAAACAAAGAGATAGACTGAGGCTAAGACATAGAGGTAAGATCATAGTAGAAAAACAGGAAGACTGAGGAGTGCACAGCAGAGTGTGTGAAGCCCCCGAGGGCAGGGACTGTCTCACTTTAGTCTTCATATCAGCTCAGTGCTCCTCCACTCATACATTCAAGGCTTGTTGACCCGTGGATCGAAAAGTAGTAGGAAAGGGAGAGGCAGACAAGGAGGAAGGATCAAACTGTGGTCACAGGTATCCCTAATGAGAACTAGCATTTATACAGCACGTTACGGTTTGCAAAGCACTTTACCGTTAGTATCTCATTTAATCCTCAAAGCAGCCCTGGGAGGTGGTTGCTATGTATTGCACCCATTTTAGGGAAGAAGAAACTGAGGTTCAAGGTCTTGTCCAGAGTCACGTAGCCAGTGGGATGTCTGAGGCCAGATTTCAGCTCAAGTCTACTCCGACTCCAAACCCTTGGATCTGTCCATGGTACCGCCTAGCTGCCCGCAGAGTCAGCAGAAAGGGTGGTGCGGGATGGAGGGCAGGAAGATAGGCAGGGGCGGGAAGGGGAAAGCAAGACATGCAGGCAGAGGTCAGTGAAAGAAGCCTCAAAGCCACGCCCAGGGGCTACTTACTGGGGGAAGGACCTTCTCCTTCAGCCGGCTGAAGCCTGTCTCTCTCTCAGAACCTTTGGCCAGTACAGGTAAATACTCATCCCCCTGGAGAAAGAGGAAAACCTTGAGGGCTACAGACACACCCCCTTCCCCTCCTCCTCTACCTTCCGCACACATTCCCCACAGGGACTCCTAACACCATCCCCTCTCAGGGCTTCAGACAAAGGGACAGCTTCCCAGGTCACTTCCCACAGTCTCCTTCTCTCCCTGCCCCTCTCGGCCAGCCTGCCTCCTTCCCCCACCCCCTGCCCTTCTCCTTCCTCCTCTTTCCCCGCCCTTCTTACGTGTGGGGTGGTCATGGGGATGAAATCTGCCCTGGTAGTGCTTCTACTGGGAGGAGGCAACTGAAACAGAGGCCCCGAAGGACCCAAAAAGGATATCAGGTCCTCACCCTCTGGCCTAGACTGGGAGCTCCTTGAGGGCAGGCCCAGGTCTGTTACTCCCTCCCCCTGCCTCTCTCTCCCCAGCAGAATCAGCACTGTGCCTTGTCCATTCTGTTCCACAAACAGCTATCACCTCTTTCCTGCTCAGGGCAAGGGTCCCAAAGAGCCACACCAGCCTTCCTGCCCTAAAGGAGTTTACTTTCTAATGGGGAAGTAGAGAGGGCATGGACACAAATAACCCACCAAAGCATTAAATAAATAAAGGAAAGCACAGAGTGCCAGGCAGGGGCCTAGACCCCGTCCTGGGAAGAAATCTGAGGCAGGAGCAGTCCCAGCCCCTGGAGGAGAGGGCCATGTGGAAGGGGCAGTACCCTGAAGGCAAGGAAAGCTGCCCCTTTGTGGGGGGGCATGAGTTAAGTTCAGTGGCCTACACCCAGTTTTTGCCTGGCTATTTTTTCTATTCGTGGGTTCTCCTGTGGCCATTTGGGGAGGGACCCATTTGGTTTTTTATGGTTTTGCCTTAGTCACTTGGCGGGGGGCCCTCAGCCCACATCACAGTGGGAAGGAAAGTTAGACACCATCTAGTCCCACATCACTTTGTAGAGGAAGAAACTGAATCCCACTGTGGAGAAGCGACTGGTGGATCTGGGACTGGATCCCCTCCCCGCTGTCCCAATGTGGCTTGAAAAAGACATGTTGAATTAGGCAAGGAGAGGTGGGATGGGGAGGAAAAGGGTAAAGGCCTGTCCCCTCTGGGGAGGGGCAGAGGCCTGGTCTTGGGGGCAGGGTGGGAGAAAAGGGAAGGCCCCTCTGGGAGCTTCCCCGGTCAGAGCCCTGGGAGTGAGGGCAATAATGAGGGTTGGAGAAGGGACTGTGGGGAGTGGTCTGTGAGTGTGAGACTCACAGGATCTCCAGGGAGGGGTTGGAAGGCTGCGGGATTCTTGGTGGTCTGCTCTGTAAAGCCCGACTCCTCCTTGGCCCCCGATTGTCTTCTTCTGGAGGAAATCTGGAAAGGACTCACATAGCATGGGCTGGCCCGGCCCCCAGGAGCTCTGGCAGGGCCCCAGGGGCATACCACCAGCCAGTGATCACAAAGGACTATGTCTGGGTGGCCTCCAGGTGCCCTCCACCCCACCAAGGCAAATACTTTGTGCTACTGGGGATGCTGGATGGGGAAGGGAGCACATCTGTCTTCTATTCCAGCTCTCCTCCTGGAGAAGCAAAGTTGCTCCAGAGCCTTCCTTTTCCCTCTTCTCCTCATTCAACAGCCCCTATCCTCTTGGCAGACTGATGAGTTCAAATCCGTTTGTTGGGATTCTTGGAATCTCAGAGTGGGAAGAGAAGCCCAAGGTCCCACAAGGAGCAACACCAGGATCCAAGCCTGGGTCCTTGTCCAACTTGTAATCCCTTTTACAAGGAGAGGGAAGGAGAGGAGGCCAGGACTGGGCAGGATGGGCAGGATGCCCTTTTACAACATCCCACGCCATTGGTAGCCCAGCCTTTGCCTGAACACATCTAGGACAGGGAACATACTGCCTGGGCTTATTTCTAGGATGGAGGGGATAGTGGAGAGGGAGGGAGGGAGAAAAAGAGAGAGGGACAAGCCTGAGCTGAGACTGCTGAGCTTGGGGACAGGGGAGAGCTGCATTTCCGGAGTGATGTACCTGGCTGGGCAGGGACTTCATAGCGGTACTTGGAAGCATATTCAGAGGTCATAAATCTGGGACCCTAAAGCACCAAAGGAGGAAAAATCAGTGGGGGTACTGACTCCAGACAGCTCCCTACCATCAGCACTCCAAGGGCAGCCCTTGCTCTTCTCACTCCCCCCCCCCCCGCCCCGCAATGGAGTGGACCAGAAAATAGAATATTGGCAGGGGACAGAGACAAGAAAAGTCTTGCCCTGATCTGGGGAACCTCAAGCCAGCCCCATTCCATGAAACCTCTCCCCTCCCCCTAGATGCTACAGTTCCCTAAAATTCCACCATTATGGATCCATTTCTTTGCTTGAAGTTCAATCTCCTACAGAAACAGCAGTAATCCTGAGGGGTGGGGCTGTTGAGTGGCTATCAGTCACTGCTACTTGAGTAGCCTTATTTACAATTTCTCAACATGTAGGAGGGGATTCCCAGGACCTGGTTACTCTGTCCATGACCGGTCATCCCAGGATCCTGGCAGCATCATTTGGAAGCAGGCCTAGCCCATAGACCATGGAAGTTAAAGATGGAGGGAATGTCCCAGATCACCGAATCCAACCCCCTCACTTTACAGAAGCCAGAGGGAGGAAGGGATTTGTTCAGGGTCACAAAGTAATAGAGCCCAGCTTCAAACACAGATTTTCTGACTTGAAATCCAGCAGTCTAGGTCTTTCTCAGTTGGGCTGAGAAACCCCTTAAGAAATCCTGTAAGCCCTAGAAAAGCTACTTTTTCATCCTCATCATTATTAATAATAATAAGTGAGCATTTATATAATGATTTATATAATGATCTCATCTGATCCTCACAGCAACCCTGGGAGGTAGGTGGCATTATTATCCCCACTTTATAGATGAGGAAACTGAGGCTTGAAGGAGTTAAGTGACTTTGTCCAGGGCCACATAACTAGGAAGTGTCAGACACAGGATTTGAATTTGAAGGTCTGCTGGAATATTCACTACACTAACCACTCCAGCAGCCTGAGGGCCTCCCTTCTTACATTTCCACGAGGCCCCAGAAGAAGTTGCTAGGAAGCATGGGCTGAGCCCAGGCCCCAAGCTGTAGCCCTGGCACCTACCAGCCTGAAAGGTCTTCTCCCTGACCTGCTCATTTCCTAGAAGGCAGCAGAGTGCAGGCTGCAGCACCCAACTCACATATCTATAATTCTCCATGTCAGAACTTCCCTTGCCCACACTCTGGTGGAGGACTGGCACAGTCTTGGGTTCCAATCCTGGGATGGTCTGTGGGCCGTGGTCCTGGGTATTGAAATGGACTTTCTTGACCTGAGAGGAGGCAAAGAAGCCTGCAGTAACCCCCAGGGCAAAGCAAAGCCTACAACTGGCCTGAGACCTCCAAGGGGTAACATCACTTTCCCAATCAATAAAATGTGGAAACTAGCCTAGACCCCTCAGGTCTTTTCCAGCTCTGACGCCAGAACTCTGCAGGCCTCCGAGAAGTACCTGCTGAGAAAGAGAAGCTGAGGAAGGACAGTTTGGGGGATGGGCTCGGACTGTCTCCCACTTATCCCCCACAGTGCTTGGTAAGGCACTCGCCTCTTTGGAAGGGGGACAGGAGTGGGTTTTCTCATTAGCGTAGCCGGATCCAGGCTGGTACACGCTCCAGGATAGTGGGTAGCTGCCATCCGGCAGCTCCATCGGGCAGTAGCTCTGAGTAAAGACTGAGTGAGCATTATCCTTAATCAGCTCTCTGTGGGGGGGGGGGCAGAAACAGACCCAGCTGGTTAGAGATCTTGGGTGATAATCAAGGGAGAGAGAACCCCCCATGAATTGAGGACTCATTGGTTCAGGTGAACCCCGGGGCATTCCAGCATTGACCCCATAGGTCAACGAGCAACATAGATGGGGAGATCTGTGCAGCCCTGGCCTGAGCCTTCCACTGCAGACCCTCCTCCCCACTGCCCAAGATCCCTTCCCCTATAAGTTACTGGCATTGAGGGATGGGGGGTGAGAAGATGTCTAGACTGTTTCAAGGGTGTGAGCCTTACCCTGGGAGTGGGGTAAGGGCTCAGCTTGAAAGAATGTGGCAGAAATGGGGCAAGGAGAATGTTCCCCTGGGCCCAATGAAGTGAGATCTACCCTTAAACCCACTCCTCAGTCTCATGCCTCCCTTGATCCCAAGGGGCTGAATATCCCCAGTGCCTAGCACTGTGCCTGGTACAGCAGATGCTTAATAAGTGCTTGTTAATTGACTGGCTGATCAATCCGGAGCATCATCACGGCAGGAATACTTATAGAATGCCTTAAAGTTGGTGTTCTGTCCATTCTTTACTGGAACTGAGCGCCCTGCTACAGGACTCTATTCTCCCCATTTCTCAGATGAGGAAATGGAGGTTCAGAGAGGAAGGTGACTGTCCACGGCCACCTAGCTAATGATAGCATCAGAGGCAGGATCCTAAGTCATCAATCAAACAATCAATCAATAAGCATGTATTAAGCGCCTGCTGTGTGCTGCCCTCTGTGTTAAGCGCTGAAGATATAAAAAGAGGCAGAGACATTCCCTGCCCTCAATAAGCTTACAGTCTAATGGGCCACCCATTAAGACCCAGGTCTTTTTGACTCCCAGGTCCCACTTCATAGGACTCTGAGTCAAAGGTTATTGAGTTTTACTCTTCAATTTTACAGAGAAATTCATGCTCAGAATGCCTCATGTCACTTAGCTAACAAGAAGGAGCACCAGCGGTTGAGCTCTGACCCCCAGTGCAGAGAGGGATGATGACAAGAAGGGAGATGGCAGGCCTACCCTACGGCAGGATTATCCAGGGTGTCCAAGCTGGGGTGGTAGTTGATCATGGGTCGGTAATTCGACTGGTAGCCAGCACCCTTGTGCTGACCGACTTGGGGCTTGAAGCCCTCCCGACCTGCCAGAAAGGAAGGGACATCATTCCTTGGATGGAGGAAGGAGACCCAGAGAGTCCCGGAGTGGCGCTCTGGCATGGTTCGGGGTCCGTCTGAAAGGGCCTGTGTGTCACTGATAGGGAGAAGGTGTGTGAGGGGTAGGATTACAGAGCCGTTGGAGACAGGCTGATAGATCGAGGCCCTTCCCTGAGGGACGGTCGAGGCCCTTCATGCTGCCCCTGACTTCAAATACGTTCTACCAACTCAAGGTTAGCCAGGTGGTTAGCCAGCCGAGATCAGCATCTCGGTCCACCTCGCTAGAAAGGGCGGCCCGAGATCTTAACTGTACTGGGTTGCCTAAGACTTGGGCTCTCCCTAACTGGCCCTCTGGGGAACAGTGATGAGTGCAGCTTTATTTCCTCAGGTCAAACAAAGACAATGACCCAGAGCACGTCATTGAAGCAAATGGGTCCATGTTTTCTTGTACCCTACTTGTATGGGCATCTAGGTGGTACAGTGGATAGAGTGCTGGGCCTGGCGTCAGGAAGACTCATCCTGAGTTCAAATCTGGCCTCAGATACTTACTAGCTGTGTGGCCCTGGGCAAGTCACTTCACCCTGTTTGCCTCAGTTTCTTCATCTATAAAGTGAGCTGAGAAGGAAATGGCAAACCGCTCCAGTATCTTTGCTGAGAAAACCCCAAATGGGGTCACAAAGAGTCAGACAAAACTGAAAAAGGACTGAACAATATGTGTATGAGTGACTTTACCCATGTGGTTGGCACATTATTCAATAAACCCTAGGAGGTCCCTCCTATATTTGCAGAGGGACACTGCAGATGCTGCTGGCTGGATCAATTTGTTGATTAGTTTAGCTGTCAGATTAGCTGAAATGGTTCCCTCCCTCCTTTTTCTTCTTTGTTGTAAGGGACAGCTCTCTGGGAGTGGGAAGGGATATAATGGAAAATGTAAGTGCATAAAAACAGAAGCTGTCAACAAACTATTAAAAAATAAACCTTGGGGGCAGCTAGGTGGTACAGTGGATAGAGCACCAGTCCTGGATTCAGGAGGACCTGAGTTCAAATCTGGTCTTAGACACATAACACTTACTAGCTGTGTGACCCTGGGCGAGTCACTTAACCCCATTGCCTAACCAAAAAATAAGTAAATAAATAAACCTCGTATTCAGTTTAAAGTGGGCGTGGTTATGACCTTGTTCCTTGAAGTCCTGAATGTGACCAGCACAGACAAGGTCCTTGAAGGTCTGGCCCCTCCAAGCTACTGTGACCAACCAGGTCAGTGTGGCGTAGTTATGTGGAGTCCAGGGGTCGAGGGGATTAGGGTCAGTGGGGTCAAGGGAGACAGTCCTTCCACATAGGGTGACAAGGGTCAGTGGTCCAGAGTCAGCTTGTGAAGATGAAAAGGTCAGCGTGATGGGGAGAGGTTACAGGAGCAATGTGATGGGCTCACAAGTACAGGACCGCTCTAGCCTGAGCTAGGAGAGACCTCAGAGGCTATTGAGGCCATATTACAGATGGGCAAAGGTTGGCAGCCCAGAGAGATCAAGAGATCTGCCCATAGCCACACAGGCAGGATTTGGACCCAGGTTCTGACCTCAGAGCCAGCCCCCTTCCCACTTTGCCACGGCACTGCTCCGGGTCTCAGAGTGTCAGGGTTTGGGTGGTGATGGTGCTTCTGTATAACTCAGGTTCTGAAACTCAGCCTGATTGGGGCAGGGAGGCAATGGGACAGGGCTGAGGGGGTGGTGATGTAGCCCCCTTTCCACTGCCCCCGTCAGACATCTGCTTCCTGCCCTGTGCCCTGGGGGGGGGAGGGGATGGTGGCCTCAGGGCGTGCAGAGCAAAGGCCCCTTACTGTAGGCTGTGCAGTAGCTGGTGGCATAGAATTTCAGGGGGTCTGCACAGCCCCCTGAACTCATCTTCACATAAGGGGAAACAACACCCAGGGGCAGTTTGCCCATCATGGTGGCAGCAGGAACTGGGCACCAGGACCACCTAGAAAAGGAGAGACATGTAAAAGGTATCAACAATCAATGCTGGCTTTGCATGACTAGACATATTGGTAAAGGGGAGAGACAGAGACAGAGACAGAGACAGAGACAGAGACAGATGGGGAGAGAGAGAGAGAGAGAGAGAGACAGAACGAGATGCAGGGGAGAGACAGAGACAGACAGACAGAGAGAAACAGAGAGAAGAGACAGAGACAGAGACAGAAAGAGAGACAGAGACAGAGAGAGAGAAAGATGGGGAGAGAGAGAGAGAGACAGAACGAGATGCAGGGGAGAGACAGAGACAGACAGACAGAGAGAAACAGAGAGAAGAGACAGAGACAGAGAGAGAGACAGATGGGGAGAGAGAGAGAGAGACAGAACGAGATGCAGGGGAGAGACAGAGACAGAGACAGATGGGGAGAGAGAGAGAGACAGACAGAACGAGATGCAGGGGAGAGACAGAGACAGACAGAGAGAAACAGAGAGAAGAGACAGAGACAGAAAGAGAGACAGAGACAGAGAGAGAGAGAGAGAAAGATGGGGAGAGAGAGAGAGAGACAGAACGAGATGCAGGGGAGAGACAGAGACAGACAGACAGAGAGAAACAGAGAGAAGAGACAGAGACAGAGAGAGAGAATTCAGAACTGAACATAAAATCGATTCTGGAATCCTTCAGAGATCATCCAAATTGGCCTCCTTGCTTTTCCTCACACACCACACTCCATTTCCCACCTCTGCACCTTTGCCAGAGCACTCCCTAATGCCTGGAATGGATCCCCTCCCCTCTATTCCTTCAAAATTCTGCTCAAGCTTGACCTTCATACAAGCCTTTCCTGATCCCCCAGCTGCCAGTGCTCTCTTCCTCCTACCCCCAAATGCCCTTTTATTCATATTTTATATATATTTGTTTATGCATGTGCTGTCTCTCCTGATAAAATATAAGCCTCTCAAGGCCAGGGACCTTTCTTTTGTCTTTGTCTCCCCCTCCCCAAGCCTGGCCCAGTGTATGGCACACAGAGGGCCATGCTCATTGAGTGACTGATCCAGCCCAATCCCTTCCTTTTACAGCTGAGGAAACTGAGGCTTTGCTCAAGTGACCTAGCTAAGAAGTAGCAGGGCCAGGGTTTGAAGCTAGGTCTTCTGGCTGGGAGCTCCTTGAGGGCAGCGACTGTTTCTTACCCTTCTTTTTATCCCCAGTGCTTAGCACAGTGCCTGGCATACAGTAGGAGCTTCATAAATGCTTCTTGACGTGGACTGATTTCTGATTCCAAGTCCAGGGCAGGGTGGTCCATCGAGACCAATGCACTGAACTTGAAGTCAGGAGAGACCTGAATTTGAATCTTGCCTCTGACACAGACTAGCTGTGGACCTTGGGCAAGTCATTTCATTGCTCTGAGACTCAGTTTTCTCATCTGTAAAATGGGGATGATCATACCTGCACTGGACACCTCTCAGTGTCCTCATCTGCAAAAAGCAGCTATAATAACCACATGCCGGAGAAGGAAGAGGGCTGGCTCTGGTTGCAAAGGACCTGGGTTCGAATCTTGCCTCTGACATTTATTACCTATGTGATTTGGGCCAAGTTATTTGACCTCTCTGGGCATGGGTTTCCTCATCTGTAACAAGAGGAGGTGAAGACTAGACCAGTTGACTTCTGATGTACTTTCCAACTCCGGATCTATGATCCTCTTTCATGAGATTATCAGTGAAGATCAAATGGAAAAAAAATCTATGCTTAATAAACGCTTATGGGTTGACTGATATGTTATAGATATCTGCAAAACCCTCCATCAGAATATGAGTCCCTTAGAATTCCCAATTAGCATGTGAGAACAGGCCCTGTCTTTTTTTTTCTTCTATTTGTACCCCCTGGGGCTTTCTTTGCAAACAGTTGGTGCTTAATAAATGCTTCATTCATTCACTTGCCCTCAAGCCTAGCTGAATAAATGGTAGCCATTAGTATTATTTTTCATCAGGTAGAATGCCTCTTTGTGGTGTAGGGGCAATCCTGGGCTCTGGAAGATTCTGCACACCAGCCCTGGCAAGACCTCCCACCCAGGAAAGTCTCCAAGTCAGGACTTAGGGACAGACTGCGTTTGGTGTCCAGGGATCAACCCATCTGGCTAGATGGGCATACCAACAGAAGACTGGCCGCCAGCTGATCGAAGCTGAGCATCTCCTAAGGAAGGCATGGGGGCTGAGGAGGGAAGACACACAAAATGGCAGAGCCTCGAAGAGGGAATAGTCCTGTTCTACAATGAGTCTCCCTAGACTGCCCTGTCAAGAAAACACAGGCATCCTTCTCCCTGTTTGACAGGGGCGGGAACGCACACTCAGAGAGGTAAGATAACTTGCCCACAGTCAGAACTAGTAAGGCTGCATTTGAACCCAGGTCTCCAAAGTGATTCTCATGACCCCAGACTCCCTGTTATTACTCTCTTTAGCACACACTGCGTCATGCTGGAGTTGTCTCTTTTTCCCCTCCTTGAGGGTAGGGACTGGATCTTCTCCATCTTTGCGGCCGGCCCAGGACAGCCCAGCCCAGAGCCCCAGATCACTTACGATCTGTTGAACTCAATGAGCCAGGGAATGAAAGGGGGAGAGCTTCCTGCCTTCCAGGGATTCATGAACTAGAATGCACTTTGCTGTTGGCCCCACAGGGTCTCTGCTCTTTCTCAGCACGCCCACGGTCCTAATTCTTCTCCCATCTTCCCTCAGGTTTCTGCCCAATGTCCAGCTGCTCCTTGTGGCTAGGGATGCTCCATGGGAGGCGGTGCTCAGCCCCCATTGTCTTACCTGTGCCTTCGCGGCTCTGAGTGGCGGGGAGAAGGACTCCCGGGAGGAGCTGGAGCATCAGGGGAAGGATCTGACTTTAGCAGAAGCTGCAACCACCTGGCTGCTGGCTGGCCCTTCCCCAGAGGAGGCAGCAGGCTGGGCTAGAACAGCAACAATACGTTGCTTGGTAACAGACGCTTAGCAACCAGTCTCCAAACACCTCTGGAATCAGCTTCCCCTCGGGTCCAGTGTGCAGAGAGAGAGAATGGAGGGATCTGGATGGACCGGTGGGGGAGGCATGGGATGCTGCTGCTCAGGGCAGGCAAGGGAGCCTCCCCTCTGCCTGCAGATGTGTGTCAACTCCACACAACAAACTCAATCCACTTAATTCATTTCATTAAGCACCTACTACTTCCTAAGAGTAGAGCCTTGGATTGGACCCTGAGAGAGAAAGCAAACTTTAATCAGGCTGGGTTCCAGACCTGCTGAACTTTCTAGGCCAAGAGGGGGCTCAGATGCAAACAAGGATAATGTTTAGTCCTAACAATAATAATAATAATAATAATACACTGAGAGCTTAGAGAGGAAAAAGGGGCCCTGTGAGGTCTGAGGGCACTTGTGGGGCTGCCTGAAGGAGGTTCTATTGGAGGTGGGCTGAAATGAGGGAGGGGTGGTAATTCCACAGGCAAAGGAGAGGGGGGATATCTCAGGCAGCAAAAACGCACAGGTTAGGAAAATGCAAGGTGTATTTGGCAGGAAAGCGATGACTCCAGTTTGGCGTAGAAAAATTGTGGGGGGAAGTAATATGAGATCAGATTAGGGGGGACATGGAGAGCCAAGCAAAGGAGTTGAGGAAACTACAGCAGACCACAAGCCCCCTCCTCAGTTCTCCCAAACTGACACTTGTAATTTATTCTGTACAGACTCATACACATGAACAGAAGTTTCCTGAGAGCAGAGACGGGATGGTTTCCTCGTTTCTGGATGGTTACAATGCTTGGCACCCAGTAGGCACTTAATAAATGTATGCTAGTTGGTTGGTGGATTTACAGTCAGAAGCCTGGGTCCAAGTCCCAGCTCTGCTATTCTCTGCTTGTGTGACCTTGGACAAGTCCTTTCCCCTCTCTGGGCCTCAGTTTACTCATCTGTAAAATGAGGACAGTTGGACTAGGTGCCCTCAGAGGTCCTGCCTCGTGGGCCATTCCATCCAAACGCAGTCCCATCTCCAGATCTCAGATCTCAGAGCAAAGCCCATCTTTTCCCCCTCAGCCAGTTCTCCAGGTAGGCGGATGGGGTCAGGTCTCTGGGCCAGGGGGCAAGGAGATCCCCCCTCCTCTGGCTAAGAGGCATTTCTTTGGGAGAGGAAGAGCAGCTCCTCCCTTTTGGGGATCTCTTGGGCTAAAGAGGGTGCATGAGGAAATTCTCCTGGGGACTTGTGCCGGGGCCTCCAAGGGCCCACCCATCTGGCACAAGGAGCCGATGGGCTCTCGGGCGCTCTGTGCTTTTTGGCTATGTGGCGACACCTCGTGGCCAGCTTTCAGCGCTTCACCGAGCTCTGGGGCACAGAGGCAGACGACTAGCTCCTCCCTACTTTTCCCAACCCGGCCGGAGCCCTTCCAAGGCTGCCTTAGTTTTCCTCAATGGAGAAGGGCTGACGGCTCCCCGGAAAGGATGAGCTGGCGTAGAAAGGAGGAAGGCTTTGAGCGGGGAGGTCCTGGGGCCAAGCCAAGGCTCTGAGGCTTCTCTGCTGCGGCCCGGGGCTGGTCCCCTCTCCTCTCAGGGATCAGCTCCCTCATCCAATGAGAAGGCTGGCCCAGATCTTCTCCAAGGTCCTCCTGCTCTAACAGGCCTCAGGGTCAGAAATCCTTCCCTTCTTGATCCCTGCCTCATTTCCAGACCTAATACAATCAGTCAGCAAGCACTAGTGATGTCGTGTGCCTGGCACTGTGCCAGAGATGCCAAGACCAAAGGGCCACAGTCCCTGCCTCCGTTGCATCTCCGAGGACCAAATGTTCGGGGATGGAAGGGACCTGAAAGGTCAGCTGGTCCAGCCCCTATCAAGAGTCTGAGGACAGATTTGAACTCAGGTCCTCCTGACTCCAAGGCCACTATGCCACCCAGCTGTCCCTGGGCTCTGTCTTCTGTCAGTGACTTATCCCTAAAGCCTACAGAGGCTGCTCAGAGCTGAGAAGGATGGTTAGTGCCCTGAAAAACAGTCAGGACCCAAAAGGGCCTTGGCAGGCTAGAGAACTGAACTGAATCTAGATGAAATTCATTATGGATAAGTGTAAAGTCTTACACTTGGCTTCAAAATATCAACTTCACAAGCATAAGATGAGGGAGACAGAGTTAGACAGCAGTTCTGAAAAAGATCTAGGGGTTTCAGTGGACCACAAGCTCATTATGAGGTAGCAGTGTGATGGGGCAGTCAAGTCAGTCCAGAAGCATTTATTAAGCACTTACCTTATGCCAGGCATCGGCTGCTAGGTGGCGTCATAGTGCACAGAGCTCTAGGCCTGGAAATCTCATCTTCGTGAGTTCGAATCCGGCCTCAGACACTTCCTAGCTATGTGACCCTAGGCAAGTCACTACTGTCACTGGACCTCAGTTTCCTTCCCCTTCTACCCGAGGAAAAGCTTCGTAAACGGTGAAAGGCCTTGTCAATATGAGTTACTGTTCTTATTATTCCCCAGAACGTCTCCCTTTCTGGGGCCTGAAATCATGTCACAGTGATAATCATTGACCTTTATTTTAGCCTACTGGAGCTAGCAAAGCCCTTTACGCTTGTCATCTCAAGTGCCAGGGCCAGGAGAGCTTCCCAAAGTGCCTCAGTCTCAGGGGCCAACCTGGGCCACGTACACGCATTCAAATTCATTTATTCGTCTTTATTAATTTGCTCATTTTCATTCAACACGCTCTTTATTATGACCACCACTTGCCAAGTGCCCACTGCTCGGAGCCCGAGGCCCAGAAGAGATTTGGGGTGGGGGTGGGAGTGGGGTGAGCCAAGGCAGCTGCACTGACCTGGTCAGTGGTAGGACCCCAGGGGATGCCGCCTCAGCCCAGCGCTCCCTAAGGTGCTGAAAGCTCAGGCGGGAGAAGATACAAACACCGGTCACTGGAATACAAATTATGTGAGAAGAGCGTTGGAAGGGCAGCCTGGTAGAGCTGGCCTGACGCAGAGTCTGGGACCCCGAGCTCTGATGCTAACCCTAATTCCCACTCTCTTAACCTCTCAGTGCCAGGGCAGTTCTGCAAGAGTGGAATCTCAGGGCTGGTGCCAACCTCCACAGGCAGAGGGAAGTCATCAGGAAGGGTTCCCTCCCCCAGGGCAGTCCCAGGCTGGTTGGCAAATCCAAGGGCTGGAGAGACAAGCAAATGCAGTGCCACGGGTGGCCACAAGGGGGAAGGGCTTTGCTGGTGGTGGTCTTGGCATTTGAGGGGGGCTTTAAAGAATAAGTAGGAATTCATTATAGGGCAGCTAGGCGTTCCAGTGGATAGAACACCAGGCCTGGAGGCAGGAAGACTCATCTTCCTGAATTCAAATCTGGCCTCAGACACTTAACTAGCTGTGTGACCCTGGGCAAGTCACTTAACCCTCTTTGCCACAATTTCCTCATCCGGAAAATGAGCTGGAGAAGGACATGGCAAACCGTTCTAGTGTCTTTGCCAAGAAAACCCCAGATGGCGTCATGGAGAGTTGGACACCACTAAACAACTGAATGACAATAGCAAGGGATTTATCTGGCAAAGAGGGCAGAAAGGTCAGTGGTAGCAAAGGTGTGGAGGTGGTAAAACACAGGGTGAGCTGCCAAACAGAAGACTGTCCATTCTGGCTGCAGAAAGGAGCACATAAAGAGGAGAAGTATGAGGTAATGCTAGAAAAGTAGGGTCGCCCCAGATCGAGAAAGGCTCGGAGTGGTGTGTGTGGTCTGCTGGAAGGAACAGACATCAACACGGATAGCTAGAGACACATCTGATATTAATATTTATAGGACTGTGGATCATAGGCTAAAAGGACCTTAGATTATCTTGTCATGGGATAAATGGATCAATAGACTCTTATAGAACCAGGCACTGTGCTAAGTACCGGGGATACCCATATGCCCTGCCCTAACAATCTACTGGGGAAATGGAGGATAGGGAAGCTGAAGGGGGGAGGTGCCAAAGTGAAGAAATCCAAAGGCTGAGCCCCCTCACTTAAATAGCGTCCCTGGAGCCCCCGACCTTGCCCTCCGGTCCAAGAGCCTCTCATGAGATGGGAGGGTGCAATCTTACCATGTGAAGGCCTGATGGACAGTTCCAGAGTAGCCTCAGAGCAGCGACTAAGACCACAGATTTCAAGCTGATAAGCTCAGCTTAGCAAGGCCTACTCCTTCATTTTACAAATGAGGACACTGAGGCCCAGGGAGCTGGAGTGACTTACCCAAGGTCATACACTAGAAGGCCAGAGGTAGGAGCTGAACCCAGGGGTTGCCAGCTTTCTGGCCAGTCCCAGCCAAACCTCTCCTTTGGCAGGAGGTCTTTCCCAATTCCTCTTTTTTTTGGGGGGGGTTTGGCTAGGCAATGGGGTTCAGTGACTTGCCCAGCTTCCCACAACTCCCCTCTTTTGACGTCTAGACTGGCCAGCTGCCTCAAACATTCATTAAGGGCTTCCTGTGTGAGGGGCACCTTGCCAAAGGCTGGGGACAGAATGACAAGACCAGGCCCTGTCCTCCAGGGGCTTACTGCAGTCTGATGGGAGAGACGATGTATAAACCTGGTAGATGGACTGCACCCATGAGGGGAAGCCTCCAGCTGCTGCCAGACCGTCCCTACCCCCTGAAGGGGTTCTTTCGAGGCCCTTTTCCCAGTGCAGGGAAGGAATAGCCCTGGCCCGAAGCCTTAGAAATCTGAGAATCGTCCTGCTTGGCCTCGTGGGTGAGGCTGGTCCCATCCTGAGCTATGGGGGCAGTGAACACAATTGGGGGGAGGTGAGGCCCGAGGCCTGGGTTTAGAAATAGAGACTTCAGTGACAGAAAGGTCATGCATGAGAAGCAGGAGGTCCCTGGGAAGCTCGGGGATCTCTTCTGTATTCTCATGTGACTTCAACGTCTTACAATCTGGGGCCAGAAGGGGTCTCAGGCAGCATTCATTTAGCAGACGAGG